TGAACGCGCAGCAAAAAAAGACTTTAGTTCAACAGGAAAAAAAAACCCCTGCTAACGTTAACAGAGATAAGACTGGGAAAAAGGCGGCTGTGGAGTCCCTATTGCCAGACTAGAGTCAGAACCTCTTGAGCACCGAGCGAGCCCCGCTGACAGCCGACAAGGGCGGGCACACCTCCTGCTGCGTCTGGTCTGGGGAACTCAAAACCTCCTAACGGTGCTGAAATCGATGGGCAGATATTTACCCCCAAGCTGGCAAGGAGCACTCGGAGAGGGTGAGCCCAGGAGCTCCTACAGCCCCACGGGTCCATAGGGCAGCTGGGCACCATGCAGGAGCAGCTGGGCACTGGGGACTTACTCTCAAGCACAGACGAAGAGAAGCAGCATCTCACGGAGGCATTGCTACAAGCTAGGGAAAATGTAAGCCCTTTCTATTCCAACTTCCACCCTCTCCAGTTTCAGGCACTTTAAAACAGCGGCTTTAAAATACTCTCATTTCAAAGCACAGTAAATTAAGTTCCACATAAAGTCCAATCAGCTTTTTGCTTAATTTGATAAAAGCTCATCAGACCATTCAAGTTACCTTCTGGTCAATACTGCCTCAAGAAATCTGCAATTCAGCTACACGTGGGTTCTTCCAGTATTTCTGTAAAACCTTCCTGACAGAATCTGTTGGCCTCCATGGATCAGATCTTTGTTAAACACCGTTTCAGGGCCACTCAAACTACCTTTTATACTATGGTGATCTTTGTCCCTAGAGGTTTTCATCTTGTGGGATTTTTTTTTCCTCTTGCTTCAACGCACTGTGGTATTTATATAGTATTTCTGATGACCTACCACGCTCTCTTTCATTTTCATTTCTTTCTAAGAAAAAAGGATCAGTCTTAGTAACAATGGCTTAGCTCTTGACTTGCTGGGTAGAAGGTTAGGCTTCAAGCTAGACAAAGTGACTATTAAGGTGGATACTTTCAGGTCTATTGACAAAGAACAATAAAGGTGCTCACCAGAGCCCCCTGCCTTGCAGATGATCCCAAAGCTCTCCACAAACAGGATGCTGGGTCCCTCATTCACCATCAAAACCATCAAAACATACTGACCGCTAACTGTGCCAGCAACACTACATAAAAGTTAGTTAAGAGGTGAAAAAGAGAGCAACTTCTCCAAGCAAAGTTACAAGGAAATTAAGGGAGGTAGAGCATATGACTTCACGGAGAAGTTGGCCACAGGACCAAACAGCACACCTTTTTAATGGCCAAAAGGGGGGCAGGGTCCCTGTTCAACGCTGCTCCTCGGTTCTCTGCTGAGCGCGGTGCGTTATCAGCCGAGGGAAGCGCGGAGCCCGGCGGCAGGGCTCCCCCTGCCGCTCCTTCCGCTGGCTTGTCATCTGAGCTTTATCAAGAAAAACCCATGCCTAGCCTAAGAGCTTTGACAAGATCCCAACGCAGCGGCAACAATCGAAAAATATACCGAAGAATTCATTTTAAGACCCCTTCAATGTTTCATATTTTAAATCAGCCATCACGCTGGGAGGAAACAAAATCCAGCGACAGCAATCATTGCAACAGGGCACAGAATCAGCCTCCCCACCCACCTCCCCTCTTGCCAAGTACTGACCACGCTAGCGGCGCAGCAGTCGCAAAGATTTTAGATTTCTTGCAACACAATTACAAATTAAGACATTTGGCAAAGGGGAGAGAAGATTTTTTAATACTTGGTGATCATGGGAGGCTGAACAATATCCTATATAACTAGAGTCCCATTATAGCAAAGAGGGGACATCCACCTCTTTTCTCCAACAGTATCCCCAAGTTTTAGGACCAGGTATAGACCTTCCAAGAGGACCTTGGAAAAAAACCAGAAGGTGGCTCCGTTTTAAGCATTTAAATCCCCAAAGACAGACAAAAGAAAACACAGAACAAAGTAGAAATACTATTGATTATGCATAATTGGTATAATTAATTTGTAATTAGTTCGTTAAAATATATAGGCATTGGAATTATGTTTGTACATTTCTGGGAATATCCTGCAAGTCACTTGGGATATGCTTATCATTTATTTGATAGATGAAACATTATTAGAAAGACAGCCCATTAAAAATTAATATACCAGAGTAATAATTTCTTGATCTCAGCATTCTGTTTTCTACATACTCAGACTCCTACCTCACAAAGATTTTTTTTCTTTATCATTCATACTGTTTTCCAGAGCGTGACTTGGGAAGCCCAGCGTTTCAGACAACTCAGGCACAATATCCTTTACACCAAGCACGTCGTCAGTTTGGAGAAAACAAGGTGACTAAAACTATAAATTACATGTCATCGGGGTTTTTTTTCCTGCAATGTTACTTCACTATCTCTACCAACCTTTCTGAAGTCCTACCAATATTTTTGAAGTGCCATTTCAATCAAGAGCTACTGAAATAATTTCATCTTAAAAACCCAGGGTACAGTCACATCGCCTCCAAGCTGGGTATGTAACAACAAAGTTTCCTTCAACTTCTGTAACAGATAGAAAGAGTTGGTGCTTCTGTGTGTAAGTACGAGCACCACAAAGACCCTCTGCTCGGAATCACCGCTTAAAAAGTACTTTCCTCCCCACCTACCTCTGTCAGCACTAATGGGACCTTAGAAAGGTTGGTCTCACTGATGCACCTGATGCCCTGACCCCTGAGGCTACGCCATGTGAATACCCATCTTCATTTAAGAAGATTTTTTAAAAATAAAAGTCCCATAATTACTCCAAAAGAGCAAAATCGACAGTGGATATATAGTGCAAATAGTGCCATTATATGGCTTGAATTACTTCTTGCAAAACAAAGAGTAAGTGCTAAACAAACAAAAACCAACCAAACAAAGAAAACTCAACCCACTTTCATTTTTTAAAGAAGGGTAAAATTGCAAAAAGAAATGTAGAAAACAGAGTTAGGTCTCTGGGTCCTTTAAAGCACAATTAAAACACTTCACTGTAATTTTGTGCTTCTCAGCAAATCTGCTTTAAGAATTCTGAACAGTCTCCCAGGAACCACAGACTTTTTTTCCCCCCGCTGCCTCCAATCCAGCACGGCCCATTATTTATTTTCTTTGCCCTGCACTCAAGAATGTGATGGATGTATTTACATAAACACACGCACAGTCACAGATATCTCTCTATAAAAATTAATCTGCAGATGATGAAAAGTGTAAAAGATCTAAGAGGCAAATCCCAAACAAAAGAGCATACTTTATACATAAATATCTTGAAATTATAAAGATCTGAGATTAAGTGCTTTACCACTCATTTAGAATTGATTAGAATGTATTTAAATTTAGCTGAAAGTACCACAACATTGCTCGTGTATTTGCATCTGCGAATAAGTAAATAAAAAGCCTGTTATTAAAGCCTTCATTAATTCTGATTATATGAGAACTTAAAAGCAAATCTGTGTATTACTGCTCTGTAAAGACTCCTAGCAACTCTACAGTAAAGCTGGCACTGCAACACAACATGTGTCAGCGAAAATGACTAACAGGATCTATTTTCAGTAATCTTAAATCACACTGGTAAAATATAGAATTAATCGCTTTGCATAATATTTCAAATAATTTTTTTATTCTAATTCATTCCCAATTCATGCCTTATTGTATCAAAAAAGTGAATTTTATATCACTTGACATTTATGCACAACAGTTGAACGCATTTTATTAAACTACACTGTTCAGGCAGTACTCGGATGGGATGTGTATATTATTATGAAGAGCGATCCAGCTATTTCATTTCCTTATAAATATAATGGCAAGAGATTTAAAAATATATCACATTGACTAGAAACACAAAGACCATTTCACTCTGACTACAGACTTTGAGACCTTTTATATATTTAATTGAAGTCAATACTTTTGAAAGAAAGATTCATGAATTTTAGTAGAATTTTCCCTCAATTAAAAGACTTGTTGATTTCTAAGGAATTTGAGAATTAAGTATATCATCTACCCCAAAATGGTGGTTCTTGGAGAAATCAGTTTTTAAGCTATGAATGACTTCTGAAAGTCAACTTCCCTCCTGCACCCCTCTCCCCCATTACCCTCAAAATTCTCCCCATCTCTCCAGCATTCTGAGTTAATAGTTAAAGCAAAGAAGCAAAAGGGAAAAATTATTAATTAGGTTCTTCTACTCCATCATATACTAATAAATTAAATACATGTATTAAAGCACATTTGTGTTTACAAAAAATAGAGTTTGCAGCACTGATTCACTTATTCGCTCTACTTCTCATGGCTCGATTCAAACACCGAGCGAATCTTTCCGTGGCACGAGTGGGATCACAGACCAGCACAGGTCTATACTTAGAAAGGAAAGCTGATTTGAGGCAGTGAAGGGAGAAAAAGCAAGAAGACTCCTTAAATTTTGTCCACAGGGAATGTTGCTGCAACACCTAAGCAAGTTTGCTTGTCACTCTCATAGTTGAAAAGTCATTCCAAGTTACCACAAAATCAACCTAAACCCAACCTCGTCCCAACCTTTAGCCATTAAACTCAAAGAAACGAGGTGGAGTTTGATTAAAGACCTTGCACTTTATCACATCTGATAATCAGAGTGGTTTACAACCAGCTCTACATTATACTTCACAGAGTTGGTCTCAGAATAACTTACTTCTCCCCACACAGTTCCTAGGTCCAAGAGCCAAGTTGATTACCCAGTAATCAGCAGCACAAAACCTTTTAAGGCACCATACAAGATGAAGAATCAAAGGCATTTTTACCATTTAAAGTATTTTAAATATACCTGATAGTCTAAAATGCTGAATCCTAAACCATTCCTGTCTTTCTCCAGTCCAATAACCTTCACATCGGGAGACCACAATGCCAATTCCCCTTCTTCTTCCTCAGGATTGTCTTCCTCGGGTTTCTCCTGAAAAGATAAAAGCTCTAGTCCAAATACTATTCTTTCAGTTCTTTACAAACATTCTTCCTTCAATATTTTGATTATTAATGGTTCATACATGCCCTAAAATATAACCTTTTATAGGACTACAACTTCATTGAACATTATGCATCCAGTTTTCTCCAGCTTGCTGCCTTGGATACTCCCCTGGGACTATGCATGGGAGCCCATCCTGGCCCACAAATACTCAGGCATTGGTCAAATTAGTTGTTGTAATATTACTAACCTGTTACATGCTGATGAACTTCAGCTGTCCCATTAGATGCATAAAGGAAACACAAATATCTTAGCATAAAGGATTTAACCACAAACATCTAACAGAAGACCACATGATCAGGCACATCTGATACAGTAATTATGCAAAGAAAAAAAAATTAAAATCTTGTACTGTAACTATACAAGTAGTATCTAATTTGAAAAAGCAGTTTCTTTCACAATTTTTTGTGCTAAGGTATAAAAAGAAAGTTACTCAATTTTGTTAGGTAAGGACAGCTTCCTAAATACATCTTCCAAAAAAGCTTTTTATTTTTATCAATACAATCTTCAGAAAGTATCTACGAATGATGTCCTAAGAAAAATGCTAAAAATCTTGTACTATTAACTTTACGCTAACTTAACTTTATTTCTCTGGAGAAATATACCTATTACACAGAGCACTGCCAGGAGGCCAAAGGAAGACATTTTTCTTCCCCACACTC